GTTCTAGCTAATATATGGGTCATGACAAATTGCTTAAAGAAAAAAAAAAGCGGATGAACAGGGACTCTAAACGATCTGATAATTAGATGTCTTCAGTAGAATTGTTCAAATTTTGATGAATAAAGTAAAAGAATGCACTGTAGTGTGTGTGTGTGTGTGCGCGCGCGCGCACATGCGAGTGTGCCAGGCCAATTAGGAAGCTCAAACGAGCACGTGTGTGTCAGGAGAGATGGTTCTGAAGTGAAGAGTACTTACTGTTCTTCCAAAGGATTCAAGTTTTCTTTCCAGCATGTATATCCAGGGACTGACAACCACCTGTATCTTTAATTCCAGGGGATCCCATGTCTCTGCCCTCTGTGGGCACCTGCACCTACATACATATACTTAGACACATACATACATACACATAATTAAATAAAAAATGTCTGGTGGTTTGAAAGAAAATGACCTCCCTAGGGAGTGGCACCATTAGGGGATGTGACCTTGTTGAGTAAATGTGGCCTTGTTGGAGGAAGTATGTCACAGAAGGGGTGGGTTTTGAGATCTCATATATGCTCAAGTGCCTCAGACCACTTCCTGTTGCCTGCAAGTCAAATGCAGGACTCTTAGATACTTCTCCAGCACCATGTCTGCCTGTACACCACCCTGTCACACCATGATGATAATAGACCTAACCTCTGAAAACGTAAGCTACCCCAATTGGATGTTTTTCCTTCATAAGAATTGCCGTGGTCATGGTGTCTCTTTTCAACAATAGAAACCCTAACTAAGACAAAATGCATCTTAAAAAATAACACATGCATGAGCTAGCTACAGCCTTATATGGAGGAGGTAACTGATATTATCTGTCCTGGAATCTAAGACAAGCAATATATATAAAAGGATATGACACTTCTGAAACAGTGTCTGTATTGCTTAGGCTGGTCTTTTGCTCTGAGCTCAAATGATCTTCCCATGTCAGTCTCTTACTATGCCTTGCTGATAAAGAAACCTTTTACTGAAGAACATAGGTGGTTAGATTGTGTTTGCCTCTTTTATTTGTTAATCACAATTGCTATAGTCTAGTGCTGCAACCAAGCTTTTCTTAATGATCAATGTTGTAGAATATTTGTTTGACTATGTAAAGATGTGTTGCATTTCTTTATGTTGCAGAATATTTGTTTAATTATATAAATGCGTGTTGCATTTGTTGAATTATGTAAAGATGTGTTGCTGTTCTACCTTGCCAACCTAGTAAAAAGCTGAATGGTTAATAGGAAGGAAGGAGGCATCGATGGAACTTCTAGGCAGGGAGAGTAAGCAGTAGGAAGAATTTAGGCTCAAAAACAGAGAAAGAAAAAGAGACGCCAGGAAGACGCCAGAGGCCAGACAGACAGACAGGAAGGAAGCAGGAAAACAGGACATACAGAATAAAAGAAAGGCAAAATCCCCAAAGCAAAACATAGGTGAATAGAAACAGGTTAGATTCAGTTAGAAGAGATGGTGGGACAGGCCTGGGCTAGCGTTGAGCATTAATAATTAATAAGTCTCCATGTCTTTGTTTGGGAGCTGGTTAATGGACCAAAGAAAATGCCCACTACAGATCAATTTAAAAGGAGTATCTATCTTGTGCTATATGATGCAGATAATTATACTGGATACTCGTGACTAAAAATGCCACAGATTAGATTCTAGTGACACAAGACACAGTTATCCCCACCACTCCCCTATCTTCTTTTCCTGAGAGTTAATTGTGGTAAACGCTGTAGGCCTTACCTATCAGCATCATGTCTGCCCACAGCCTTTAGCCATGTCTTTTCTCTTTCTGTATTATTTTGGAAAGGTGATTAATAAATTCTTTGGATAAATAAGTGAAGTTTTATATAAAAACAATCACAGGCTTATTATCTTATTTTTCTCTCCCACCATCACTAATCCCTCTGGCTTTTGCCTATTTTACTATTATCTGCAACTGTATTTCCCTTTTGTTTTTGAAAACGAGATTGGGTCGCCTTGCTCAGCCTTACTACATGGAAGGTGCTTAGTCTTACGGCAACTTGATATGCCATGTTTTGTTGATACTCATGGGAGACCCGCCTGTTCCTAAACAGAAATGGAGGAGTGGATTAGTAGAGTGGAAACAGAGGCGGGAGGGGGCGTCACAGGAAAGGGACTGGGAGGAGAGGAGACAGGGAAACTGGCCGGGATGTAAGATAAATAAATACTCTTATTTAAAAAAAAAAAAAACTAGACTGAAGTTGGGCTCTATGGTCCTGTTTCTTATTCCTTAGTGAGCTATACGTTTTCAGTCTGTTTATTCTGTGGTGTGGTAGAGTTATTCACATGTAATAGGCTCTTCCATAGCAATATGCAGTGGAAAATTCCTTTTGACAAGCCATAGCAAGCTTAATTGAGTCATGACGTATCCCATTAAACGACTTCCAATGAAGCAAACAGCCCTTTCCCTGAGGTAACAAATGCTATCATACGGTTTCATCATGACTGTATGGTCTTATATGCCTAAAGAAATGAATTTCTTCATTTAGAAAAAGTTACAGAGAGGTGTGGAGTTAATATTAGAGTTATCGAATTAAATTTTAAAGAGATACATGTTCTACCAAGCTAATCTTATTTAAATTTAAGGAAACCCATTTTTTTTTTTTTTGGAAAAAAAAAAACCCAAAAGCCTAGCACTGGAGTACAGGTCCATTTTTAAGTGTTATGCTTTCTTGGTTGCTTAATGAGCCCCTTATGAGAATCCCAAATCTACTCTTTTTAAGTTTAAATTTTATTACAAAATGTAACTTGTCATGTCAGTAGAAACCATCCTGTCAAGAAAGCATTTATGATTTTCTCCCACTGCCTTTGCAGCCTGCAGCCATTCCGAATCCCGACACCGCAGTTAATGTTTTGAGAACAGATGGGGGTAGGGCTCTCAGCACTAGCAGACCAGTAGTAGCTGACCATGTACAGTGTTGAACTTGTGAGCCTCCATCTACGTCTTCTGCAGGTGCCCTGGGATCGAGTGATATTATGGTACCACTGTCAGTCTGGAGAGAAACATTAGGAATGGGTCTCATCCTTGCCTCCAACCCCAGTGCAGCAATAAGTCAAGAAAGGGAGATTGCAAACCATTGATTTGAACCACACAGACGAGTTGAAAATAAATTGTGCTATCTGCTCTATTTGTCCCTAAAGTCATATTTACCTAATACGTAACACAAGTAGTCCCATTCAATTGCATCAAAGGATTTCTTGGCATGTAATGCAATTGTCACCATTCGTTCCGATGTTCTCTTATATTTCTGATGAGCTGCATTAGCCTATACAGATAACCTGATGCTTCTGACCAGGCATACAGGCTTCTCGATAAAGGTCCATTAGGTCTTTATTATTTATTCATGCACCATGTATTCAGGTAGTTATTAGAGTATACCTACCTACATTATACGAAAGCATATTTTTCACAGTGCCACTAAGGGAATAATACGTAATTTAAGTGTAAAGCTAAATGGATATGTGTAATAGAATAAAGAACGGTAGGCCACCTTGACTTCAAACCACAAATAGTATCTTATGCTTTAAAAATTCAGTACAAACCATTTAAATGCATGACATTTATGCGTAGTCTATTTGTGAAACTAGTGGCTGCCCAGGGTGCTGATGGCAGGGAGAAGTAAATGTGTTGGTGGGTAACCTAAACTTTTATGAAGCTGTTGTTAAAGTGACTTCATGCCACAGAAAGGGGCATCAATTATTGCTCAGCTTTCAATTGAAATTGAAAGGCTGTCCAAATTTCCATTCTTGAGCTCAACATCTGTAACAGAGAGGGAGGCAAAAAAAATACCTCCATGGGAGATTCCAATCACACGACACACTTCCCCCGAATAGGACTGAAATATTTCCGTCCTAAGTATTGATAAATCTTTTGATGCTCTGGGAATTGTGCATAAGTAGGAAACTGAACAGTGGAAAATAGGCGTAAAGGCAGCTGGTAATCTTAAAAGTTCTATAATCCATACTGGTGGCACAACACAGTATCAGAGGAAGGGCTGGCAATGGAGCCAGCTCTCATCTGGCTCCCTGATTAAGTTGCCAGTGTCCTGGGCTTTGCGTCCTCATCTACAGAGAGGAATACAAACTCACTACCAGCTGCTGCTCACTTGATTGCTTGTTTTGAGACAGTGTCTCCCTCTGTGGCCAGACATTGGGAGGCCTCTGCACGCCAACGGCTGCTTCCTGTCAACCACCACCACTCCTAGCCCACAGTTACAAAGATCAAAAAAGGCAACACAGACTTCAGTCAACCATTTAATGCTCAATAAATGTTTGCTGGTTTGTTACAATCATCTTAACAAAATATATAAATATATGTAATAAACATACATGTATTTCTCATCAGTCCCAAGAAAGTCAAGTTCAGTATCACACTTTGTGTTCAACTGAAGCTTCAAGACATTATACAGGAAAAATAATGACATTTTGTGCTGTGAAAATTTACACTGTGGCTAAATGACACAAAGAAAATGCACTTTTAAAACTAGAGAATCCAAAGACAGGATTTCAAACAAAAAACAAACCAGTAAGTCAAACTAAAATAAACAGAACACCTTTTTTTGCCATTAATTTTCTATACTAACTGAATACAGGCTCAAGGGATAAACTTTTACTTTAAATACACTGGTCACATACACTTTAAAATGTTGTAGAGAACAAAATTTCCCTAGATATTTCTATTAATTTGAGCCCAGTGACACAGGCTTGCAAAACAAAAAGTACACACTGAATACCTTAATGAACAGACAAACAATACCATTCTGCTGCCATGGAGTTTTGTGTTCCCTAGCTGATTTTTTAAGCTAATTTTTGGCTTGAGCCATGGCTTCACGGTTAAGAGTATGTATTGCTCTTGCAGAGGATCAGAGATAGAGTCCCAGCACCTACATGGTCGTTCACAGCCATCTATATCTCCAGTTCCAGAAGAGACAAAGCCCTCTTCTGACTTCCCTCGGCAACAGGCATTTTTACATGGTACACAGACATACATGCAGGCGAGACATTCATACATATAAAATAATAATAAATAAACCTAAAAAATTTTTAAAAAGCTAATTTCTAATTTCAAGTATGCTCTATAATTTTCTCTCATGCTATCTTTCCATCCTTCACGCCCTCCCTTCATCCTCCCTCCCAACCTCTTTCTTAAAGAGGGTCTTGCTAGGCAGCTCAGCCTCCCAAATGCACTGCTATGTCTGCCAGCATGATTTTTATTAATAGTTGGAAAAATATGTTTGGATCCAAGTGAAGCAATTTTTAAAGAAAAGTTCATGATTGAAAATTGATTCTAAAACCCTAAGCATACATAGAGACGCATGCACAAAACTCGTGGAGTTCGTGTAAACAGAGAGAGCCACTCAGTGAATGGTTTGGGGTCTTGGTAATAGATAATTGACTCTCATCAGGCATCTCTCTCTTGTGCATTAATATGTGACATCACACTCTCATATAACATTTTATAACCTAGTGAAATAAAAAGCCCCTTCAGATTACAACTGTAAGATAATCAGATTCTGTAGTACTCATTATGACTGCAATTATGTAACAAAACACTCCAAATATAGTTCGGTTATTGCCGTTATTAATCATTCTGGTTCTGTTTCAAGTGCTTGCTTTATAGCCTGCTGGATAGACTGCATTATTTCACAGGCTGAATGTCGAAAGTCAAGCACGTGCTTGTGAGTCTGCTGTGCTAAAGGCCTTTCAACATAACTTACCCTTTCCGTTGTATTTCTGAATAAAAACAAATGGGAGGGATGAAGAAGTTGGTGTCAATGGAGTCACTGACCTTTGCCGTAAACAGAAGAGAGTCCTTAGCACAACAACTTGGCAAATAAGAAACCTATTTTCCTACGACTAGAAACTGTGCTGTTTAAGGAGCTAGCTTTGGAATACCAATTGCTCTTACAGAACGAATCTGCACATTTGATGAGGAAATGGTAATGAGGGTTGGCAGATCCAGTTTTAAAGGAAATGTTTAAAATACCTATGTCATGGGATTCAGTCCTAAGCATTTTATTGATTTCATTTTATGCACAGAACCACGTATTCTAGCTCATTTACCAAGTAAAAACAAGAATTTGATTACACAGAGCCAACACCATCTGCCCCACTTTACACAGCACTGTAGATAGACTTCGAGGAACAAAACTGGACCTGAAAATTTCTTAAGCCTATGCGCTGCACGGCTGAGTACTAACTAAACAGCATTCCAAACGGTCCTAGGAAAAGTGGCTCTGTAATTATTTAAGTACTAACACATAGTGTGCTCAAATAATATGCACATAATAACACATCAATATGGCTTACAAAACTATGTCACCATTTTCCTGTACTCACGATTTTTTTCAGTTTGGCTATAAACATTGGGCCCCAAGCTTTGCCCCTTTCTGGAATCACCAAAAGACTGCATTTCTGGTTGGTGGGAGCAAATGTGAAATCTTGGGAGCAAGTCCTTGCGAGTCCACTAATATCCACAGGCATGATGGTACTATTGGAGGTTAAGATCTCAGTGATGACATCCTGATTTTCAGCCTTGGAAAGCGTGCATGTGGAGTACACGAGGAGCCCTCCAGGCCGTAAGGCCTTAATTGCAGACCTGTGCGTAGTGGGAAAATGAGAAGGTGAGTGGGGTACAACAAGGAGAGTAGGGGACCTGAGTCAAGCAGATCACATACCAGCCTTGCTCTGCCTCAAGCTGCAGTAAATCTGGTAGTGTTCTGACCCTAGTCATAGTTCACTTACATCCTACACACAGTTTATCACTGATACCTGGGAAACAGTAACCAGAGAAAATCAAGATGGAAAGGTCAGAGGAATGAGTTGGTTGATGGTTTGTTCTTCTAAGGGTAGGAAAAGGGGGGGGGGGGAGAACACAGATAATATTTTTTAAATCACTGAAACAGAAAACAAAGACAATAACTAAAAAGATACATAATAAATCATTGATCATACCCTACATGCTCAAGGAGGGCTATCAGGTAAAAGTCAGAAGGTATTCACCTAAGAAAAAGAGATAAGAATTTGTAGAGACATAAGGGAGCTGCTGTGGCCTGGGAAGCCAAAGACCTTTGCAGTCTACCATATAGGGGTCCTCTAGAGTAAGATCTAGCTTCCCACGGTGTGATAGCAGCAGAAAAAGTTTTCACCCTTACAATAAACCTCCTGAACATTGTTGTTTCCTTATAGACTAAAACGGATGACCAAGGCTCCCAAGAAATGATTAATCAATACAAAAGAAAAAGAACACAAACAGCAAAAATGTGGCCTAGAAAGAAACTGACAATTCAATTCAGGGAACAAATATGACACAACAAACACAGAAAGATCAAAAAAGATGGATCACTCATAAAATAGCAACAACATAAGAAAACAGCAAGAACAGAGTTCATAGAAGTTGAACATCTGTTTGCCAAAACAAGGAATGCCTGTAGAAGCACTTGGAAGGCAATGGTCAACATATCCCCCGCTCCCCGTCTTCAGAGTAGAACAACAGGTGAGCTCAAAACAACCTTGTCCAAAATTCAAGTAACGAATTTAGAAAAATATTACTCAGAAGTTTTTGACAACAGGAATTGAATGAATGTAATAAGATAACTATCCAGAAAAGGGACAGGACAGTGCTTCAGATGGAAGGAACTCACCAAGGGGCTACCACATTCATTATTATTCATGTATCACCTATTATATGCTGAGTATTGTCTAGGTATGGGACATGTATCAATGAATAAAACAAAACAATGAAAATACAAACAATTTAAAACACCTCCTACGAGGTGTGATTTTTTCCACCTCTAAACCCAGCACTCTAGAAGTCTGAGGGAGGAGTTTGAGGCCAGCCTTGGTTATACAGTGAGTACTAAGCTAGCCAGGGTTACACAGACAGGCTATCCTGTCTCAATATGCTCCACAAAAAAATCACACTATATCCAATAACAAAAGCTCAGCCCTGCAGACATACACATACAAATAACAATGTATAGCGTGAGCAGGCTGTATTTTAAATTTAGAAACACACACATATGTGAGAACAACAAAAGAAAAAGAGCTGCGAATTTGAAAGAGAGCTACGCAAGGGACTTGAGAGAAAGGAAACAGAAGGAGGAAACAATGTAATTACATTAGTTTCAAATAATCTAAAAAATTTCCAGGAAGGGGAAATTGCAGTCATGATGTAATGTATAAGAGAATACACTTTTGAAAAAAAAATAAAAATTATAAAAATAATAAATTCAGAGACCAGAGTGGGGGGGCTTTATTTTCCCAAATATCATATTCTCATGAACACCACCTATGGAAAGATGAGCGTGCCAGTGACTGAACCGTGCCCCTTAGACTTATACAATGATGTGAAAACACACGTCATCTCTGCATGGGACTGAGTTTGGAAACAGGCCCTTTAATGAGATAATTCAGTTAAAACCCAATCATTGGAGAAGACACATTAACCCAATTTACTTGATATCATTATAGAAGAAAATTTAGACAAAGAGCTACAGAGAGATGGACGTGTAAGCCAAGGGAAAAGAAGGTCTTCAACCACAAAGGGAGGCCTCAGAAGAAGCCAGGCCTAGCAGTGTTCTCAGACTTGCAGCCTGTCCACTGTCTGAGTAAACTAATCTGTCAGCTACTCAGTCAGGTGCACTTTGCCATGGTGATCAAGGAAAACTTATAGAAAGTAATTTATACACATAAACACACATAAATCTATACATAGGTGTATGTAAGACTATGTGAGTTTGTATATGTAACATGGGGGGGCCGCCATTATGTAACATGAAGAGGTCGGGCCTGTTTGTTTGTGGGTTTTTCTGTCCTCCCACCAGATCCCCACAATTGTTTAGTCCCAGAGAAAATCACCCTGAGATCTCTATAAGTTATAATGCTGATTGGCCCATTAGGTCAGGCTTCTTACTGGCTAACTCTCACATCTTGATTAACCCATTTTTCTGATCTATGTTAGCCATGTGGCTCAGTACCTTTTTCAGTGGGGCAGCTCACATCCTGCTGCTTCGGTGATCTGGGCAGGAGTAAGAGGAATCAGCTTCCTCCTCTCCAAAATTCTCCTGCTCTCTTTGCATCATTTCCACTTCCTGTCTGATTTTCCTGCCTACACCTCCTGCCTGGCCAATCAGCGTTTTATTTAAAACATGATTGACAGAATACAGACAATTCTCCCGTACCATGTATCTATTTTTATTTCATGTGTAAATTATTGGCAGGTACCATGAAGGAAACAAAATCAAGATAAAAAGATTAGGAGTGATTGGCCAGTGAGGAATTGTAACTTTAAGACTGAATAACAGTTGGGCCAAACAGATGTGTGATGGATAACTATTCTACACTGCAGGAATAGCCAGTAAAAAAATCCCTGAGGCATGGCCAAGGAAAGAGGACAGATGTGTGTGGCTGAAGACAGAGAAGACAGGAAGGGATGGGGGATGGGATGAGAGCTCAGGTGCAGAGGCCTGTGAATGCTCTGTGAACCTCACCTTACACACTTGCACTGAAATACTAATGCTTAGAATGCTGGGAAAACAGAAGATACTAAATGCTTCCAGAAGGAAAGACAAACCACAAATAAATGGCCCATCTCAGCGTTCAGGAAGCGGGCTGGCAACAGGGAATGTCACGTGACTTCCATTTGCAGCCTACCCATCAAATAAATATGCGAGAAGAATACAGAAACTTAGATTGGATGGCTCTGAAGTTTTCTTCTAGCAAACTAAAGGGGTAAGTCAAGGAGAACTAGAGCCCATAAAAGAGTAAATACGGCACAGAATGGTGTAGGGCAGGAAGCCTCAGAGCAGAAGCAGTGTGTGAGCTTTGAAGCGAAGCCTCTTCAGGTGGCAAGGAGAGGAGAGGTCTCCAGAATGGCTGATAGGTAAGAAAAACCTGCAGATCTACCATGCACATCTGAGAAAGAGAAAGTTTGATGCTTTCATCTGATTTGGCTGCAGAAAAATTCTTTAGTAGAACTCCTGCCATAAAACTGAACTAACAGAAAGAGAAGTTTAATTCTAACACATTGCTCAAGTCTAGAGTAAATGATATTTATCGAGTTAAACAACCCTTTATCAATCTCCAATATTCAGAATCATTTCATAAACTGATATTAGTATTATCTTGGAGAGTAGATAAAACCTCTGAGAAGAGAGTACCAAGATTGACAACCATAAAAATGAAAACACCATCAAAGGGTACTGAGAAATAAATGAGAAGGAGATATACATGGCAGGGTCAGCATACAAATACACTTATTTCAGAAAAAGAGAGGAGGCACTTCTCTTGGATGAGAGAGAGAGAGAGCGAGAGAGAGAGAGAGAGAGAGAGAGAGAGAGAGAGAGAGAGAGAGAG